CTATTTTACTTTTCTTGATAAATATCCAGGATTGAGAAAAGTGGAGAGTCTTGTTGTGTATTTTCCTTTTTTAATTTGTTCGCACACGCATAGACATGAACTTCCTGCGCATCACGTACTTTCTTTGTATAATTTTATTTCATACGTAGAATTTTGTCATAATTCACGTTTACATAAATATGAAATACCCTTAATTAGTGCCCATCTAGACAGAGAGACTACACATTGATGTAATGGTCTATTTGAAAATGCTTGCAAAAATGTCTATTATATAGAACTTCAATATTCGACAAAGAGATAACGCGGTGTGAATTATAAACATAATAATAAAATAAGGTAACGATCTTAGGTATATATCGAGTTTTTATTTGTAGCTCAATCAGTTACTATGCTGAGCTTATTTATAGTGTTTTATATGAGGCTTCGTGTTTTATAAGCTGTACTCGAATGTGCATTTATACAAAACTGAAGTGTTGAAGCCTTTAAGTCTTTTCGGTACGTCAAAGGGCATTCAACGTTAGATACTTTGAACATAAAATCACGTATCAAAAGTTCCCATAACTTAAACAGACAGAATAGAGAAAAATATATAGATATGTGAACAATGATTTAGACTTCGTGTTAAGGAGATCATACAGTTTCGATCAATATTATTTCATTTTTTTTCTGTCAATAAACATCAATTTGGCCGTATTGTTAGCTTTAACTTTAGCTTTCAAATTGTTACAAATAAGACCTATAAGATACTGCGGACAATATTATAATTGCTTCTCTTTGTATGTACTTATCTGTACAATCTGGAAACGGGAATTGTCTCAAATATATAAACAACCGGTATTATTCAACGATTTACGGGTTCGATATCCGACACAGTTATCTATCGGTCATGAGACTTTTTCCTTTCTTCATCAAAACGTGTAAGCATGTATTGTATTCAGTTGTTGGGAGCACGAGTTTCCGAACCTTACATAGCCGTAAAGTAACGGGAATTATACCACGCGATTAGTCAGGTAGAAAAGTATCGTCCTTACTAATGAGCTTAACAAGTACCTGCAAGCAGACAATTTTATAAAACAAATATTAACGCTATTTTTTTATTTATTCAATAATGCAGAAAATATATTTCATTATAAGAGTATAAATATAAATTATTCTAAATATATTGTAATGAACTAGATATTTAACAATTCATTCCAAAATAAATATAGTCCGATAAGAAAAATGACACTCATGTGATCAATTATGATTTGTTTCTATCAAGGTTGTCTACAACTGATAAAACATTTTACGTGAATTAAGAATCGCAGGCCAAATTGAATTTTGATATGGTTCGTTGTAACTATATGGTATTTTTATATTTCTTGTTTATATATACACACTGATGCATGTAAATGCCTGAAAATACAGTGTTGCTTGTTATGAACAAAATCTAATACAAATCATAATATTCTTACTTTGAACAACACAAATAGAATGTAAAATTATAGCAGTCGCATATTCTTAAGATTTTCAAGGAAATCAAAGAACACGAAATTTATTTGATTACAAAAACATTAACTTTAGTCACAGAAAAATCGTAAGAAACCTGATGTGTCATTTAACTCATGTCGATACACTTTATTATATTACTTCTCTAGCAAATATACATTGTTTAAAAATACTTTGATATAAGTAAAACTTCATTTCGCATTTGTTTCTTCCATAAATAACTCAATACCTTTTTTTTAAACGTAGCTTCATTTGGAATCAATTGATTTTAATAGAAATGGTATAAAATAAGCGTGATATATAAAATATATATACGTATATATAAAAGAGATTATTTTAAAAAAGAGATAAAACATAGCTATGATATCTCAATTAACTTTTTTCATGTGTAGATAACATTTGGAATAAAGTTAACTTTTATAAGAATGGTTTTTACAAAGCGCCATATTGTAAAGTTACATATATACACTGTTATTATAAATATAAGCATTACCACGTTAGAGGTAAATAATAATGATAGCAATAATTTCATACACAAATAAGCAGTAGTTTCAGTCTTTGATATATTTTATAGTTTGTGTTCACCAAATGAAACAAAAACTGTTCATGGACCGTTCCTAAGTGTATCATAAGTAGTCCTGTCTTCTCTTGTATTGGAATCTAGCGTATGGTATTCAGATTCGCTATACTGTCCAGCTGGATTTCCATAATCTCTACGAGTCACTTCTGAACCGAATGCTTCATTCGCATACGTTTGACTAATGTTTCCGCTCCTGAAAAGGGAATAAAATTTGTTTGCACTAGATCTACATTCTAGTCAAAAACATTACTGGGCTAAAAGTTGCAAGTTCTAATGTGTTGTTTGCTTTGTTTCGTCAAAATGTATAAAATATTCAATTATTGATTATATTACTTGCATGTCTCTGAGCTTAGACAAAATGTTACATAATGACTTGTACATTTCATGAAGTTAAAATATGTTTGGTAAAAGAGCATAATTCTCACAACTCACTTGTCGTTTGAATTTGTCTTTTGTCCATCTGAAAACATAAATTATATATTAACAAGGCTCAATAAATGACAAAAGAATTAAAACTTTCATAGCTTAAACTGTAAATATGGATATGTCATCGCACTTTGCTGTTATGAGGTGTCTTTATATACTTACGACTTTATAAAATATATCACCGTAAATATAAAACGCATTTAAAATAATTGTTTCTTTCAGACAAATATTTTGAAGCATTTACGAATGGTGTTCTCGTCGTTTTACATGCATTATCAAAATGATAATGAACAATATATAATACTATTTTAAAAAAAACATTTTCATTTTTTTTACAAAAGAAAAAGACATAAGTCATATATACAGACACTTATTTTTGTTAAAAGGAACACATGTATATCAACTTAGTGGTGATAGCTACTGAAATTAGTTATTATCTTAGGACAATGCAGTATTCAATTTTGAAAAGTAATGCACTTGATATTTAATATTTGAGGTTATAAATATACCTTTTGATCGAATGCGTCGTAAAGTGATGGTTGTATACCCAGCATAGACAAGCAGTACTAGAATAATTAGGCCTAAAACAACTCCAATCACAATAGATTGCGTAGAACAATTAGAGTCTTCTATAACACGTGCTTGAAAACAGGGAATAGTATCAAACAGAAAAATACGAAATTTCAACGTATGTATGATAATATTACAGTCAAGCAGAATGGGTAACGTAAAAAACAACAATAATTCAATATGTATTCTTCGGTAAGTGATGTGATTGTAAAAACTTTTATTCGCAGATTTATTTATACAACGATGATAAAAATACCTTCTTGTCATGTTAAATGGGCGAATGATAAGGCAAAACTTGGTAACATACTTTACGTTATAACCTTAAATTCACGGAACCTGTAACTCAGAATATTATCATAATAATTATGTAAAAATATTTAAGAACATGTTCTAACAGAAGAGAGTTCCCCTCGGCCCAAAACAATGAGGAAATGAATTTGAAGGAAGAAGTGGCTTACAATTTACTGTTTACAATAAACAAATGAATTAGGAAGTTTGAATATTTGACCTACAAAGAAAAAGCGTATTATGTTACAATTCCAAGTTCACATCAATCAGTTCAATAAATTTCATAACATTGGATCATATCGTCACCATTTTATTTTGTTTATTTGTTTAAAGAATTTTGACAAAGGCAATAGGGAACTTTAAGACATACCTGCGGCAGCTGTTATGAAAGGTCCATACTGTCGACTAAGCAGACAACCGCCAATGTTACATACTACAGCAACAAGTCTATGACCAGCAAACAATATCATACAATTAAACAACAATGAGAAACGTGTTATGAAATCAACTCTTTGACAGCTACCTTAATGTAAAGAATTAAATATACGCCTGCTCTGACTTTTGTTGTTAAATGGATCATAGGTATTTATCACATTCTTTCACTTATCTTAACTACTTTAATAATCACAAGTTTTATTGGTTATTTAGAATTTAAAGTTATGTGTTAAATAGGAACTTACTTATAACTAGTACCTGGCTGTAGAGGGCCATTGCAATATTCATCAGCAGGGAGGTATGTACAGTATTCACTGCCAAGTGTATATTCGAAAGATTTTATCGATCTTTTCTTCCTTCCTTTTGAAATAAGAGATCAAAACTTATATTTTATCTCTTTAATTCAGTACATTATTGATGTTTTATAATAGCATTTCCATGTGTACTTTACATACAACGAAATAGAAACTTTAATGTCGTTTTCTTTCATTTTTACATAATTGTATGTTCATACATCACAAAGTAAGGGTGATTCCATTTTTAATCAAAATTTCATAGTGATTGTGGAGTTAGGATATATCACAGGTTATAAAATCATTCCTACCAGTATTGCAAAAGGTCTGAATCTCGTCAAACCAGAAAGGACTTGTAACACGATAAAATCCAGGACCTTGGTCTGTGAACTGTTTCCAAGTTTTCATTGTGTCGAAATCTGTAACTTTCCTGATGTCTTGAGCAATAAATAGTATATACCTTGAGATATTTATTTATTTCCATGTAAAATCGAAAAATATTTCTCAGAGCGGACAAAATATTTAGAACAAACATTTAAATAAAACATCAGGTGTTCACCGGATGCGGTTATTTCACATTATATTATGTGTCCATGAGTGAAATATTACTTGATCTTTCAAGCATTACAAACAAATTGTTAGTTTATTTCCTAAATTCAAAAGGTTTTCAATCATTTTGACTGATTTTGATGCGTATCGCCATACAGTCGTTTTCATGGCGTCATCACATGTAAAGATGTTTTGTTTAAAAAGAAATACGAATTTTGTTTTATTTAAACATGATTTGTGCAGATTTTCACGTGATTCCCGTAGTGTAGTACTGTACATTAGTTTACTAAGAACAGGCGTTTATATCTTACGTAATCTCCATTCATTTATTACAACGAGACTATTATTTTCATCCGGAATCAGATATCGTTGGGGTACTGTAAAATAATATTTTGATCATATCACGGTAAAATTATTAATACATCATTTTATACTATTTAATATAAAAAACTTGATATTAACCTAAATTTCTCTTCTAAACATAAATTATCTCACAATTATAAAGAAATTGATAATTTCGGAAACATGTCAAAGCTTGTCCGATTGATCTGTCATTGCCTTAATACACCATTTCCTTTTTTATTTCTCCAAATTGACTTTTCTTGTATTACCTTTCAAAACTAACAAGTCAAATTTATTTCAAAAATGTCATTTATGCTTTCTTTATCCTCGTTTTTTTAATAAAGAAAATGTTAATACTAAGAGCTAAAACTCAAAGCAAGGCATAATGTACCTTCTAAATTGCAGTCTTTCACACAAGCTATTATTCCAGTTGCTTTTATTTCACCGTTTGTAGACTCCTCGAAGAACTCTTTCAATAAAGTAACGGTAAATTGAGTTCTTTCAATATCTTTCAGAAGTCGCAATGGAATAACATCGACTCCTAACGTTTCTTCAATATTGACAGGAACTGATAAAAGTATATATAATATTGATGGAACAGAAAAAATTAAAATAACATACTAATGTTTATTTTTTTGTAATTTAAGAATACCCTCTACCGGTTTTACAATATCATCAGGAGGACGTTAATTTTAGTGACACCAAAACAGTCAATTTAGTTTATGTTGAAACATTTATTAACATTGATGAATATAACAATCAAATTCATTTTGATACTTTCTGACTGCCAAAGGAACTTTGACCTTTATTTATTTATTTATTTATTTATTTATTCATTTACTTATTTATTATTTATCTACCTTTATTTATTTATTTATTTATTTATTTATTTATTTATTTATGTTTATTTATTTATTATTCATCTATTTACAAAGTGTACGTGTTTATTATTAACGTTATTCACGACACGTTTTATGAAACACTTTTTACACCTTCAATTAAAACAAAAGTTAATATAATTACTAATAAATCAATCATTTGGTTTACATTTTAATGCTGACATATTTGCATTTATTTAGAAAGCAAGTACTAGAAACTTAAGTTCGTAAGATTATATTTTGTTTCAATAAATTAGGAAAACGGACAAACCTTTTGCGTGTGCTTGCTTAACAGTGATTAGTTTTTCACCATTCATATTTTGCTCGTTTATTGCAAACACCTAAAATTTTAAGAGTGAAACTTTCATTTTAGATGATAAAAATACTTATCTATTTTTCTCAATGTTTGTCAGCATTTAGAACACATATGTGATAGCAAATATTTGATATATACGTAATTGCAAATAAGTGTAAAATATAAGTGCTTCTCGGACAATTGTATACCTTTAGGGATGCATAACTTAAAGACATTTGCACGTCGACGATAAAAAATATTATTTTAAAAGTCGTTAAATTGAATTAAAAGAAATCCGATTACCTCAAAATAATAAAAAGTTTCTGGGACAACGTCGAGAGATATAGAATATTCATAATTTTCATCTGCGTTCTGGTTGAGTATCTGTTGCGACTGCAGGTCCTAAAAAGCAAGGTAAAGATACTAACCAGTTATTTAATTAAATATGCCAGCAGTTAAGCAAATTAATAATTTACATTAATAACTGGATACTTTACAAAAGAAAAAAATAATGACTGGTTAAACAATGAAACTGTAACTTTCACACTGTCACAAATTCATTTCGACAGCATGTTTAACGTCTTATCTAACAACAAATTCTTTTCATACTCACTCCAGTAGCATTGTGTATAAATCTATATTTCATAATTTTACTATTTCTTTCAAGAATATTTGGTGTTTTCCATGAAATGTTTAGCGTCTGCCCGGGACCATCTTGAACACTAAAACTTGACACCTTGCCGGGAGCTTAAACATATAATAGTATATATTAATTATCATTCATTCACAAGTCAATAGATTTTAATAAGTGTTGAAAAACGATTTAAACATTCATTTAAAATTGATGAAAGTCAATTATCTATTGTCGTATATTGCCCATGAGTATTTAAAATAAAAACAACATAAAAACATTGCATGAAAATCTTCAAAAATTGGTGACCATGATGTTTGGCGATCTCAAAAACTAGTATGTATGTAACGCTGAAATAATGATCCTGCGGCGATGTTGTAGAACATGTTCTGACAGTTTATTTGTCTAGTATGAAAATCAGTTTAATGATTCAACATAAAAACTGTTATCAAATAAAGAAATTGTTTCAATTTCAATATTTTTTTACTTATTTTATTTTTAATGATTTGTCAAAATAGTCTGATGCCATCAGAGGGAGTTTATTGGACACTTAATTAAGCTTATTAGTTGGAAAATACTTAAAACTTATTTTTATTTTATTTATTTATTAAATTTAAAAAAAACATTAAATACACTACCTGCAGGTAATGTACGATAATTGTCTGACACATCAGATGTCACTGAACCAATAGATGTAGATGCAGTGACTGTAACAGTGTAATTCCAAAACTCCTCAAGACCCGTTACCAGGTAATTTCTGTTCTCATAGCCTAAACAAAAATATCAAGATATGTCATATTATGCTTTTGAAAACAGAGAAATAATTCAATTACACTCAATATTTTACTGTTGTGCTACAGAAACTTGAATCACTAAATCAGAATAACAATCAGAAAAAGACACATTTTTTTTAAATAATCGCATATTGAAATTTTAAATCTATGATCAGCTTGATCTTATGCACTATACATACATTTTAGTACATTTACAAAAGACACGTACAAGACATATTCAAAGGAAAAGCAATTTCATCCATATAACACAAATAAAATCTGACATAGAAGATATTATAAGGAATTGTGAAATTTCCAAAAACTCTTCTCTTTGCATTTGATGCATACAGAGTCATAAACACTTATAATATCACCATGCCAAATACGATGATAATGCTGACACAATTTGTTGCAAACAGCATTTAAAAATATGTTAAATTAATACTTTTTTTACTTAAATTGAATGTAAAAATGATAATATTTGACTAAAAGTGAAATTTAGAAATGACCATTTTATGCTAAAACTGAAATGTTGAAGTGACCATTATATGCTAAAACTGAAACATAGAAATGACCTTTATTTGACTAATATGCAAAAATCAAAATAAACTTTCTGTACGATTGAACGGTTATTACACTTTACTTACCAATAACATTAAATTCTTTAGATTGAGCAATTTCAGTCATCACCTTTATTGTGTAAGTTGTGTTGCCTGGTTTTGGGGAACCAATTTCCCAATTGACCCAAAAACTGGTTGAATCACAGATACTTGATATGGTTTTTGTGGAGCTGAAAAATAATTCCAAAGCTCTTCAGACATTCTTCTGGTATATTCAACCAAGGACACTCAATGATTATTTGTATAGTGAGTCATTCCCACCAGTCTTTAACACTATGCTAACATAATGTATAGCAACAAACATTTCCACACATTAATTTAATTTTTTAGCAGTATCCATTGACAAAATTTGGTTTTAAAAATGGCCATACTGTGCTTGATTTCTGGCTTTGCTTTTAAAGTAAAGTGGTTTCAATTTCTCCTCAGAGAAAGATTTTATCGGCACATTGCATCGGCACAAACAAGCTGTAGGGTAGAGCCATGGACCTTTCCAAAATTTGCTTCTTAACAGCTGAGATGTTTATACCCTAAGAGAACACCAAGCTGCCCTACCCAAACATCTTGAGACATGTATTTGCCATAAAAGATAAGAAATACAAAACCATTTTGCTTTAAATGTACATATATAAAGCGGAGTCAGTCAAATAGTCAAGCTACAAATTTAAATCAATTAAATTATATAAATGTTTATATAGAATTGATAATACGAATCATAATGTTCAAATCAAAATTCCAATAGAAATAACTACACAGGGAACAATGAAAAGCTTTATTTTCATAAAATAATTATAGGAATAAAGTTAAGTAAACAATAGGCACATACTATTGATAATGTTACAAAACGGTTGATTATTAAAGAAAGTTCAGACTACTAGATATTAATTAATTACAGATGTGTTAAACAAACATTGCAATATCAAAAACATAAAATAAATAAATAAAAACTGTATTGGCTTATAGACAAGTTACCTTCTTCATTAGTTCTTTGTGTATAAGTTGCAAGATGTCCTCTTCCAGCATCATTTATGGCAGTAACAGACACAGTGTAGACAATGTCTGGGTGAAGAACGGCAGTATATGTCAACTTACTAGCTAATTTTTGTTTTGTTTTATCAATAACTGGATCTCTTTTAGTAGGATCACACAAATTAGTTAAATATGAAAGCTGCAAAAAAGATATGGAAACATTACAGACTAAGAAAGCATAATGACTATTGTTTAAAATGCCTAAAATCTTGATGCAATGGACAAAGAAACATGACTTGAGGTGGCGACTTTTTGTAAATACATAAATATTATCATTATACTTGGAATATTCCTTGTGGCCAAATCTGTAAATTGCTAACATTATATTTTTGTCAGCAACTAATATAACATACATATGATACTGCACTTTATTTTTCCCCTTCTAGCACTTTGAAATTAAAGATAAAGAAACAAGGAATGACGCAAATAGTAAATATTAACTATTTCTAATCAAGGTTCAACTTTTGATGCCTTTAACACATACTATCATTTGCGTGTTAACTTATTTCTCAAAGTTATTGTGTGTTGCATCTGTGAAAAAATCCTTTTACAATATAGAAGCCTTATAAATGATAAATCTGTCAATCCATATTAATTATATATCATAATGATTTTCCTTTTTACGGAGGGACATATCTATTTTATTTATTTTTGCCTACATTGAAAACATGTATCTTTAAATGCGAAGTCATATTTATTTTAAGGATCTTATATTGATATAATTTTCTGACAAAATTGGATAATTATTTTTGGAAATAATCAACTTTTGCTACTATATGGACAGAACGCGTGACTCTTCGTGAATAAGGAGTCTGGCTAACACAGAAAAGTTAAAAAAAATCTCGGTGGAAATTTTAGACTTTAAGACAGCATAACCAGTCTTAACTAGGGTCTTACAACTATGTTAAAACAATTTTAGTGATAAGTGATTATAATTTTAACAAGTTATGTCCTCCGCTGAGTAGTATTTATTACAAACGCAACAACTTGATACATCAGGCTTTATTTATATTTTAATTATGACATGCAAATTTCCTTTTTTTTTCGATGGTTCCCATAACGTCATGTTGCACAGGAATAACAATATTGCTCTATATGCATACTGCACTAATAAAGGACCTTAAAACTGCCTTGAAGGGTCTGACCGGAACAAGGAAATGATATGCGCATCTCGCTTGATACTGATCCAATAATTTTTTTATTGAATTCCAGCCAGTAAATGCATATAAATAGCGATAAAATGATTATTGCCTTTTATACATACTGCATAACTGATCGCGGGCCATAACTCTGTGTTGAAGGGTCTAACCGGAACTAAATGGCTTAGGCACATGTCTAATTTGGTATTAATTAAAGTAAAGCAATGACCTATACTGTGTCGGTGTGACGTGAAACCCAATCAAACAAACAAACATTTATTTTATGTACATTCATTGTCTTCACTTTGAAATGCATCAATGGAGAAACAAATGATGAGATAATATTTGTCTCCTATTTTTATAAAGGTATGGCAATTAGAGTAAAATCGAACTACTTAGATTATAAGGATCAAGTTCAGTTAAAGGGCAAGGTCAACTTTGAATATTTTAACATGTAGATGTGGCAAGAAGTGTTGCTTTGTACGAATACGAATCAAATCTAAAAAAGTTAATTCAAGTCAAGGAAAAATCAATAATTTGAATTTTATAGTGTAGGTCATTTTTGGCCATATCTGAATACTTCAACATGTTAGTTTTATCATTTTTGAAACTCGTGTTTTGTTGTCCAAGTATGAATACCATCGGTGCATAATCAATATCTTAACCTTTGTGGTCTAGGTTATTTTAAGGTCAAGGTCAAAATTTAACAATTCAACACATTTTGGTTCTGACATTAGTGACTTTTTGTCCAAGTACAAGTCAAATTCCTAAATCGAAAATAAAGTTACCACATATTAATTTAAATTCGTAAAAATTACATCGGCATTCCAGATTATTCATATAAAACAATGTAATATAGCCAGTTGTTGCATTATTCAAAGAAATTATAGGTAAAGGTCATTTATTACTGACGATCTAGCTCAGTCTAGTCAGCTTCAATGTCTTGTCCGAAGGGTTCTTTGGTGCAAGTATGAAGGCAATTTATTTAGACTAAACAAGAACTTTTGTTGGAAGCAGACACATAGCCCAAGCAGGGCCAAGTAGTTATATAGAAAAGATATATATTCAAAGACTTACTATAAAACTACCACTACAATCTGAGCATCTATAAATAACTTCTTTCCAGCATGAACCGGTCTCATCTTTAATCTGTAGAACATATCCATAGTTTTCCTCACTGAATGTATTTCCGGGTTTTTCCCAAGAAATATCAAAACCACGACTCGTTACTACTGCTACTTCAAGCTTTGTTGGTGATTCAGACACTGCAGAGATTAAAGTAAATTTATATAAAGAAAGGCAGTGTTCTTTCAAATATTGTAACGTTACATTTGTTTTAATATTTTCTTAAACAGAATTTGTGATCAGTGCACAATACTGAACATAAGGTACATGTTGACAACTTTGATAAACTACACAATTTGTACATTTATTGTTAAGAAAACTTCCAGATATCACGGTAAAAGTGGTTAATATTTAAACATCTGGCCTAGATTCCTTTAGGTGTGCCTTTAAAATTGAGAAGTTATGTGACTGATACTATCCGTAGTTGATGCCATGTCAGTGTATGAGCAGTTTTTTGTATTTATTTATAGATTATTTTTATAATTTTGTAGACTCAGAATTCAAATATGTTGTGTAAAACTTACCTTTGCAAAGAAGAATATTAATACCAGGGACCTTGAATATTGTAAACATTTAAAGATAAAAAGCATGAAATTGATAGAACACCAGCTTTTATATTTTCACTGGTGGCTATGCCAGTCATAAATCAAAGCACAGAAGGCGCTGAATTTGTTTGGGTCTCAGAATGTCAGAAAGGTGAAGGTTGTGAGACTATAAAACAATTTGTATTTGTATAGTGCCACCAATGCTTTCCAGCGTTTTAATTGTAGTCGATTGGCTATAAAACTAATTGCAACAGTGATATTTGATCCAATGTTTATTTGACTGAAACAATTAGAAAAAAAAGATTTGCCTTAACTGGGATTTGAACTCCAGACCTCTATCTTCCTAAGCGAGCGCGCTAACCCGTCGGCCACGGTGGATTTACAATATTATCGGCCTGAAGAAAACCGTATTATTCTAGTTAGGGTTTGTAACGACGCTAACTGTTGTTTAACACTTGTGTAAATAATCATGGCGCTTACTATAAGCATGTATATCTATAAAGAATAAAACAATATTAGAAATCTTCGACCATTCGGGAATTATTTTGCTTGAAAATTAATCCGCCTGTCATGTGACCATATTTACGCAGTGATCTCCCCTAAATATTTCGGCCTAAGTGTTACTTATAAAGGGAGGTAACCGCTTCAAAAAAGCGGACTACTTTCGGCACCTGCAATTAACAGCATTAGAGTCTGAAATTTCGCTACCATTATTTGTTTGGTCTGACGACCCAAACAAATAAAAATTACATCGCGTATGCACTATTTGAAATATATATGTATTTGATCTTACATTCAAAACATCCTTTATGAATAAAACTATTCTTACCATTTATTTTTTCATTTAACTTAATGTTTGCAATACTTACATTAATTTCATATGGAAAGATAATTAATGTAGCATTTGTTTAAAATAAAAGTTCCTTTAACGTTGATTGATAGATAAAACATTGCTTAGATCTCAATATTTTCACAACGGCCAAAAAAGAATTAATCCATTTTGCAATAATTATTATAACAGATTTTAACTATTATAACATCTATTAATTTTATTTACAGTATCATCGTTCAAAGTTCATTACAGCTGATCGATAATTTTATTTTAAAAGTATTGAATCCATGACAGAGTACCATGCAAGTTGTTTTACTTTTACATATAATTATACGACCAGCAGGACCTTTTCAACATAGTTTGAGAACATAATTCTGCTTAAAGATAAAAGCTTTCAAAATTTATGATCCATTTAAAATAATTAGTTATAAACCTTTTAACAGGTTATATGACCCTATATAAACGGGTGTTTGTAAATGTAACCCAAATAGCTATAACCCGTCAGGAATTTTTATAAAGAGTTTAGAATACAGATAACTTCCTATTTCAGATATAAAATGATGTTTCTTCAGCCGTTTATATAAAATTATATAAACAACACTTTTATATGAGTACAATTAAAAGCGACGTTAAAAAATGAAACAAAAAAACATGTAAGTTCACACAATATTTTACATATGAAAACTTATTCATATGAAACACATGTAATAATTATGAGTTCAACATATGTATGTTAACATATGTTTTTCATGTGGTCCTTGTTGAACACGTGTTATTTCACAAATGAAAAACTTTGTCAAACAAATGTTTAACATTTTCTGCATTTTGGGCTGTAATGTAGATGCATGAACAAAGAATCTTTATAGAACGTTTGCACAATCATAAAGAATCTAACTGACTGTCCAAAGTGCAAAGCTTGCCAAAAATATAATTGATAAATTCATCATATGAAAAAAAACATGGTAGTTCACATATATTTAACATATGTCATCTTATTTATATCAAAAACGTGTGATAACCGTGAGGTTAACACATGTTTTTCATATGATCCTAGTTTAATATATGCTCGTTTATATATAAAAAAGATAGTTTCTCTTTACACATGTTTTTCAAAACATATGAAACACATATGTTTTACATATTGAAAACATATTGTGTGCCAAACAAACTTACGTTAAACATGTGGTGTTTTTTACATATGTGGTGACAAACAATTGATGTATACTTCAAATAGTGCGCAAATGTTGTGTTGTTCAAGTTCATTTTACTGCATAAAATATGGTGAGGTGAAAAACACTCGAAAGATTTACAAAATGATTTCATTCTTACAATTTAAATACAATTAGGAAATGTTAACACTATGCATGTATGTGTTTATTGTGTATGCTTGTTAAAGAGATGCTCCATAAACGTGTCACTAAATGTGACAAATATCCCTGAAGATTATACCTGACAAAAGAATCTGTGTTTGTTTCTGTATGATGAACATATTATAATTATATAAAAGAAGTGGCAGTTATTGACTGACTAGACATAAAATAGACTCCATTTTAAACAACCGAATTCTTTGAAAGTTCTTGACCTTTGAACTTCAGGTATATAAACATTTACACCAAGAAATAACACGATCTTTTAATGAATTTTATGATCCAGATACGGAAATAAATATAGTACACTTACAATTTTAACCTATTTAAATGACCTTGTCATTTCGCCGCCGTTTTAGAAATTGCACTCGAGATCATTTGTTCAAAGTTACAACATACAATGCATTTTAATTACCAAAATTGGGTCAAAACATGCAAATAAAGCACTAACTGTTAGTAATGCACGTAAGTCATGCAGTAGAAATATGATGAGTAATTGTCAAATCAATCAATAATTGCAGATAAGATGTAAATTATTACTTGCATCTTCTTACGTTTCATAAAATCGTAGGACATTTTTCTCAAATTGATGTTCTTGAAATGTTTTTGGTTGCATATAACTTAGCCTACTAGTAACAACAGCTTTTGAAGTAAAAAATAACATTAAAAATGTTATAGTCATTTACACGGGTGTGTGGTGAACATAGCTCAGTACTCAGAAGTTTATTCTTATTCTTAACTCCAAATATCACTGTGTATACTTACTCTTAAGTCTTGTTTTGCAAGCTGATGAGACCTGAGCATAAGTTGTTGAATTATATCTTTCATTTTCTGTATATAACCGAAATATATAGTTGGTTCCTAAAAGAAGCAATAATCAATAAGATATTAGTTAGAGTATAATGTAATATTATGAATTATAATAAATGAAAAGCAAAATATCATAAATCACAGTAATAACCATAAACATAAAACGTTAACATTATATCATGCATGACAGTATGTTGATAATGTCATAGTTACCTGGTTGTAGATTTCCAACCACTTTTTGTGTTTCAGTTCCAGTAGTTTCATCACGGAACAGCACTTTGTAACTAGTAGTATTAATTACATCAATATGATATCTCACTAAATCACCATTAGGTAGAGAAGGCGCATCCCAATTAAGTGTTATAGAACTGTCTGTTGGAGATTGACAAACACCATTACGTGGTGCCTCTGGAACTGTAATTTAACAAACATAAAAATTGAAAATATCTTTTATTTATGAAACATTAGTACACTTGTTATGACTTACTATTACAGTCTGATTTTATTGACCTGTCAATTATGAATACATTATAGCACACATTTAAATATTCGATCCTACTTCGGTTTTGTCTGTTTATTTTACGAGAATATATATGATGTATATAGCTAACGTTTGGAAAACTCCCACTCCCACTAGCTTAATGTAGGTTCTCGTAACATCCGCAGTAGCAAAGTCGGTTAAGTGGTTATATAATGTATGAGACATCCGAGGTTCGATCCCTTCTTTTGACATTTTTTTAGGCGTCACTTATTTTTAGACTTATTTTTTCTTTATTTTAAGTATATTATGATGAAAATGGTCAAGAGCTTTCAGAATTCTCTACACAGATATGAAACAACTAAGAAACACTGAAGTGTCACGTTTTGTATTGTATTTTACGGCACTGAAATGACATTTATTGAGCTTAATCCGAATGAATTTTGAATATTAATTCTTTAACAAATTGTTATAAACAAAAGTATAGTATTTACAAAAAAGTGCAAAACCTATTAAAACAGAAAGAACAAACCTTAACATCAAAAATGTTCAAAATAGTTGTGAATAAAAAAAATGCCTGGACATACGCTGTCTCGATCTTACAACAGGACATTTAGAAATTATATACCCGTAGTTTACCCTATTACGCTATAACGGTCAGTGTATTGGAACGGTAATGCATACAAACCAGATGAATTTAATCATATCTTACTGCTTAAATCTCACGGAATTTACTGAACATTTATCGAATATTAATATATTCTGTGCATTGACCGTATGTATAATCAGTATGGAATTGACAGGTAAATAAAATCAAACAATACCGTCTTAGTAGCCTTAACAATAGAATGCTTTTCAACTAGAACTGTGTCCAAAGGACACGGATGCCCCCACTGACAACATATATATGGTATATAGTGAAAAAAATAACAAAGGGCCATAATGCTGTTAAATTTGGTCGCAGCAAAAATTCCTTCTTTAACTGCCATCTACACATTAAGGTTGTTCATCCCTGGAAGTTTAAGCAAAATCTGCCATCCGGTTTAAGAGGAGTTGCGTTCTTAAAATTTCTATATGGTATATAGTCAAATAATCAACAAAGGGCCATAATTCTGTTAAAGTTGGTCGCAGCAAATATTCCTTTCTTTACTTCCATATACACATTAAGGTTATTCATCCCTGGAAGTTTAAGCAAAATCTGCCATCCGGTTCACAAAATTTCTACATAGTATATAGTGAAAAAAATCAACAAAGGGCCATAATTCTGTTAAATTTTGTCGCAGCAAAAATTCCTTCCTTTACTGCCATCTACACATTAAGGTTGTTCATCGCTGGAGGTTTAAGCAAAATCTGTCATCCGGTTTAAGAGGAGTTGCGTTCACAAGATTTTGGGGACGTACGGACAGACGTATGGTAGGACGGACGTACGGACGGACGTACCAACAATTGGGGTTTATGTGCTTTTTCTTTGATCTTTATGTGGCATTTTCCCCCATAAACCAGTAAAATCACCACATAAACCAGTCGGTTTATAGGATTTTCTTCCTTTTTTAACTAAAGTTATGGACGGAATGAAGCTCATAGACCATTGAATGTTCACCCGGACGGACAAGAGCAACGCTATATGCACCCCACTTTGTGGGGGCATAAAACTTGAATGATCCTTTCCTTCTTCATGCAAATGCCATTAAAATGTACCCAACATAACCCTCATATAATGTAAAATGAAAAGGCATGGGAAAGAACTGTTACCTTGAACTTTTGTTTTAATTGTAGAAACCTTTGTCTCACTCCATAAATAATCCCCATTAAACTGATGACTCTTTGCTGTTACACTGACATTATATCTATAACCATTCAGTACATTGTTAAATGTTGTAAATAAAGATGTGGGGTCTCGGGAACCTTTCTGTGTATCACCATCAAATAACTTTACTCTATATAACGTTGTTACACCAGCTCCTGATGTCCATGTAATAATAATGATTCCATCACTAGCATCTAAATCATTTTCTGAACTTGTTACAGGACCTGGAATGCTCGGTTCTGAATAAAAATTATAAGAATAAAAATACACTTTAAAAGAAAACAATTTCTCTGTGAAATTATTAAGCCTGTTAATGTTGAAAAAGACATCATGTCGTTTCTAAAATTCAAATAAATGTTCACATCTCATATGGTCAGAAACATGATCAATACTATTTTATTCATGCAAACAATTCATTAGATCATTACAACTCTAGGTGAAAATAGTAAAAATACAAACTAAATAATAAACTTTACCGTTCACATAAATAAGATAAAAAAAATTTTTTATTTTATTTGTTGTTTACTAAATTACAGCCACCTAAACATGATTAAATGATGGGTATTGCATGCATTACTTATGTATTATAATATTTTTTTATTATTTTATAATATATACCATAGATAGAAAGATCATAAAACCACAATGTATAGCCGTTCAGTGCATATTTATCTCTCTTTTTTAAACTCATCTCTTAATTGTACGTTTTCTTAAGTCGTGGGGAAGTAAGATATATTGAGATGAATTTAATTCATTTGCTTCGTGGAAACTAGCACTTTGAGCAATCAATGAAAAATGTCTACTAATTATATATAAACATTCGTAAACTTGATCTAAGACACTCAACAATATAGTCCTAAATCATAATTATCTTTAAACAGCTTGTATGGTCTTAATTTGTTTAACCTCTACCTCATTTTAAACAGCTTAATTACAATTATTATCCATGGTATTTAAAACAAAACACAGACATGTTAAATAATACCACTTTTGAATTGAATAATTGATGAAAAAGCCATATAAATATTTTTATAGGAGATTATGTTTATATTATGAAAACAAAATATAACCAACATAGGATTTGTCTCTTTAACGACAACATTAGTGTATTGTTTGATAAGATTTTTCAATAGTTTTACAAATATCACACAAAAAATTAGGAAAATCAAAAAAGATAATAATCATGCAAGTGTTCTCTCCCTTATTCTGCATAATAATGTAAAAAAATACATATTTAATAATGTTTTGAAGTTTTTACTTGTAGCTTGTTGTTTTGATGTAGAAGTTGTCCTTGTAACACCAGGTTCAGTGCCTGTATCTTTTGATATCACTTTGACTTCATATGTTTTACCAGGTGTCAAACCTGTAACCTTCTGAGGAGATTTTGCATCGACCACCTTACCCCAACTTTGCCATTCAACATCATATCCGCTTACATAACTAGATCTAGTAGGTGTAGTCCAAGATACAATAAATTCTGTGGTTTTTATATTTGAAAATGTAATGCCTGTTACCTGAAGTTCTTGCACTGAAATTGAACAAATGAAATGAACTGTTTTAACGTCTGGGGCATACACAACAGTATCAAGAATTATATATTATCCGTTCACATATTTTATGGCATGGTTTTGTTTATACCTTTAACTTAACATGTGTAATAAGTAAATACATGTTTATTACACTCTACATAATATACATTATTATGCAAGATTCAAGCCGATTAGCTGGTGTGGTTGCATTCAAAACAAGCAAATTTGTTGAAAGTTACTTCCCCTTTTTATCATTTTATGATGTACAGCCCTAACTAAAGCTGCTTTTTATTACTGACTTTTGAAGTACATCTCTGACTTTACATTTTATTCCTGTGAAAAATATTTGGATCATTAATTGAATGAACCAGCACTGGTGGATTATGTGGGCTTAATTTATGCATTATGTCATTGTCAATATACGAAGTTTGTTCGTAGAGGTCAACAATGCAAAGTTACATGACAATTTTTTAAACCCTAGACAAAAATAAGACTGACAAAAGTGTTATCTTATACAAGATTATATTTAGAATTTAAGAAAATAAATAAAAAAGTGTCCCCAGGGCAGGGCCAATATTGACCGAAGGGTAGTGAGTAATACCAGTTATTTTGTGGTAAACATGCCATATAACTAAGCTCTGGGCATCATTGTTTCACGAAATATGTCAGATGTGTTTCCATATATAAGATGTTATAAATTATGTGACCCCTAGGTTTAGGCCAATGCTGAACCAAGGGGCATAATTCATCAGCATTGTAAAGTGAATGACCAATGATTTAGACATTGTAGTTAACACAATCAAAATTAAATGTGTTTTCTTATATAAATATCTGGCAAAAAGTGATCCATCAGAAGCACTTAAAACAGCACAATATCATGAACATTGCAAACTCGGTTTGATTGAGTCTGTACATGAGGGATAAAGAAAGGTGCCACATCCCTCAAACCCCCTAGCACCGGCTTTATCTGTACTCAATTCTCAACACTTAAAAATGCTGGACTCAATGATCCCGAACGACCAGTAAAATATAACAACACTGAAGTAAAGTATGGAATAACTATAAGTCTTTATAACAATGTACGTTTGTAACGTCGTTCTCCATTGGATAATTGAGATGTTTATGTAGCTTTATATACAGGACTACTTTCAATTTATAAAGATATCTCACCATAATTTTTATATAAATCACGCTTGCTTTATTATAAATTCATTATAAAAAGTTATATGGCCGTATATAAACGGGTGTTCAAAATATAACTCATGTCTTATATGGGGTCATATAACATGACAAAATTCTTAAAAAGTAATACAATTAATCAAGTAATCTAGACAAAAAAAATATTTATAAAGATTGACAAAGTGTGAATTTGACCTGAAGAAGGTTAAACCCGCACTCTGCACAACGTTTCGTTATGTAGTACAATGAATTCTTTAGTGCTGTTTACAATTAGATCCCTCATATTCTTATTAGTTTGTGCAAATATACAAATATGTTCATTACAATATACGCCAAAAATGTCCAACTTAAAGTTTCTGGCTGGCAGCAAATGTGGGAACATGACTGGAGTAATAGCTTTTATTCTTTTTTCTTTGTAAACGTATAGTTAAAAATACACTAAAGACTATCATTGTAAATATAAGGGTCTGAGATCATATAATAATGAAGTTGTTACAACAATTGCCTTGAGAGCTGGTAAATAATCAAAAAAGAACTTTACCTGTTCTACAATTACTTTGAGAGCTCCCTTTATTGAACCAGTAAAATCCAACACTACATGTACATTTATTGTTAATACATGCAGCATTTGGATCTGAACATTCGTTATTTACATCTCCTTGACAATTGCCACCAAGTGCAACATCTGAAATATGATAATACATTGTATAAATGATAAATATTAAATCTGAAATAATAATTGTACATCTTATTAAGTTAGACTTTTTTTACTTTATTAACTTAAGTGCTCCAATTTCCAAAGTAATATCAGATTCTTTCAAGGAAGACTCGTTTAGTGCACAGTTAAACATTGATTGATAAATTAGCACATTCCTAATTTAATTTAAAATTATTGTTTGAAAACGCTCAACATAGATTGATGATTTAGATTAAATTTGACATAAAACACGTTTAAGCAATAGCTTGAATGTTTCATTATTGAGTATTATTTGGCAATATAATACATAATAAAGAGTATATATATGCGTCAGTTTAATTTCATCATTTACAGCAGATGAAAGCTCTGATTGCTTGTTTTCTTTTGTCTACATAATTCATTTAAAGGCACATTATTCCTGAAATGAATAAATTTTCCCTTCTTTAGATAGAGCGAACACGAGTTCTTTAACATGTCAATAATGGTTTGAGAGCATGTTTAGATACTTATCATGAAGAAAGTAGCGCTAAATGTGGAATAATTGCCATAAAAGTAGCAAAACGTAAACAAAGAAGTATTTTGACTTCGATACAAAGTGCTAAATCACTTTAACTGTACTAATTACCTGAAAGCAACAGAAACAAATGATGGTTCAGATAATTGGCTTAAAAGTAAGTCTTTGGAAACTGTAACATGTTACCAAAATTATAGTTTTTGAGAAATAAAAATAAAAGCATTTCTGGGGTATAATGGGCCTTTAAGTAAAACTAAAACTAAAACCCATGAACTAAAATTGTTAGGGAAAAAGCAATTTTAATTCTAGTGGGAACACAAACATTCCCCTACAAGTATAAAGCCATTTCTCTACATAAATTTACTTAACAAATTGTTGTTTGCTAGTTTCTTAAATATAATACATGTGTATTGTGACATCTACATAGTATAGTTACTTATTCACCTGTGTTTTAATAGCCCTTAGGACAAACCTCTATTATAACAATTTTGATCGCAAAATGCATATAAATGAACGAATCTGATAAGGCAGAGTAATCTTTTGTACATGCACTGAGTGTAAAATTTGATAATAAAGAAAATATTGACTATATTGTAATGTAACATAGCAATATTATAGTTGAAATTTAACTAAAAGGGTCATCAACAAGGTTATTTGGTACGATGGGACTGTAAATAGTTTTTTACAGATTAATGTTCCATTTTATAACATGTGCGTAAAATCTCATTGCGTTTTCCCAGAGTAATTATTTAAAATTAATTGTAACGCTTTTCATCCAAATAGGGCTAAGATAAGCACAAAATAACATTTTTTAATTTATTTCGAATATATTTCTTAATTACCCTTTGCAACTCTTTCTGTTTTATGTTCCCGAGGTGATCTTTATAATATAAGATATTTAAATTCTGTTTTTTTTCGGGTTTTGGACAGTGCAGTTCCTTTAATATTTAACGTTCATTATGTAAAACTCAAATACATGTACACAAAAAATTACTCTAAAGATTTAAGATACAGCTGTTTTCTTCAGCATTTGTAGATTTTCCAACATATCCCTGTAAATGTATATAGTTTCTTTAAACTGCAAGTTATATTACTTACTTGGTTTACAAATACTTCCATCTTGATGATAACGATCGTCACAGGAGCAGATATAGGATGATCCCCGACAGCTTGCATTTTGGTCAGCACACTGTTTATTGTTCGAATGGCTACTGGAACAAAAAGCTCCAAGACTCCTCCCTTTAAACAAACAATTACTTCTACTGCGGACATTATTCACAATCTTTTTTTTTTACTAAAAAACTAATTCAAGCTTTGTCGCAACGCAGTATGTTATATGCGGCAGTGTGCCTTATGGATGGCATAAAGCCGCAGGTTTTATGGCATACTGTCGCACCTTTAAAGGCTTAATGCCGCAGTATGGCATACTGTGTTGGAAGGGGTTACGCAGTATGCCATATGCATTTGCAGCATTTCGTCGATATTTTAAAAATATCAATTAAAAGGTTAATGAAAATGTTAAGAATTTTTAGTATTTTGCATAATAGAAAACCTCAGAAAGAATCCTATCATAAAACTTCACAGATGGATAGATCTCATTGTGCATCGCTACCTAACTAAAGAACCTAACTATTTAACATATTTTTTTTAGTTATTGCCTTTGCAGTTTTTCATACTTTACTCTAAAACTACTAGAGATGTCAAATTTAAACTCAAGAGGTGGTCGCGGGGAGCATCACCGGTTCTACCGGCTCTTGTTTAAAAAAGTGTGAAGTGTAAAACATTGAAAACGTTTTAATGTAATTGCTTTTTAAACTAAAAAGAATCAATTTACAATTGTTATTCGATTGTCTTTTTTTTTAAGATAAAGGGTTTTCCCAAACATTTATTTTTTTACAACATTTATTTTTTTACCCATGCTTGTTAACGACGAACAATACCATATGATGTTATTAAAGTCGATTTTCCTCATATAGCATTGTGCGTTGTTGATCCCGATGCAGTATGCTATATGCGGGAATATGCTATAAGCTCGTATATATGCATGTATGTCGCATGTCAATATAAGGCAAGTACTCTCCCTGTTCTTCGTTGTATCTGGAGCCTGTAAATTTACAGGACGTTAAACATTTTGCCATATCGTTTTGATAGGATTTAACTGCATTTTTAAAGATGTTTCATACAACGTACAATTTAAGGGTGAAATATTGAAGTATCATCTTCACACGACTGTATCGGCAGGGATAGACTTTTCAGAGGGTTTCGAGTTCACAGCCCTCTGTAGATTCTGGCCATATATATGAAATTTAAGCACTGTGTAATAGTAGTGGTGGTGGTTGTGGTGGTGGTGATAATGATGATGATGATGATGATGATGACATCGAAACTAATTACAATGTATTTAAATAATGATGATAAAAAGCGGCTAAACTCAAATTGACTTTGACCGGTCAGTGCGTTAAAGCATTTATAAAAGTAACGAAAGTAACCATATTTTAAAAAAGGAAATAACAAATGTTCGAAAGGCCTGAAAGTCGAAAAAGTTGTTTTGGGTGATGAGTACAATGGGCGATCATGTACTAAAATGTATTGTTTGTAAAAGAAACACATTTTGAGCAAAATTAGCAGTGACACTTTTTGCAGAATTGCAAGTTTGCTCGTCATGAACAATTGCCATCCTCTGTTAAGTGGCATAACGAAGTTGTGCATCATTAAAAAAACGAGTACAATGGTGGGAGTACAATGGTCGAACGATTCTATTGCCTGTCCTATTTCGTCAATTTTTTCATTTTATTATGCTTGCAATTATTTCTTGGTAATAATGAGAAACTTTAATTCTGAGCTTAATTCTTGGCGAGTCATCGCTCTTTCCATACAGATTTTAGAGGCGAAATGTCTTTATAAAATTATGAAACAACCTTGAGCTGTATAAACATTTATCCATTTAACTTACGGTACTGAGCTATTATTACTTGGTCAACTTTAAGTTTAATAAAAGGTTTTTATGCCAGATGTATACAAAACACTTGGTAATACAATTCAATGAACAAGTTTCCTAATAATCTTTATTGGAAGAAAACAATCAAGTCAAACATCAGGAAGGAAAAAGGTTCAGTCTGAGCGGAAAACTCGTAGCCACCATTATAATAATTTTTGAGCCCAGATTGTTTTGATTTTTTAACGTCCGCTGATAACAAATGATTTAAAGCCTTTAAGCATGTACTAGTATACTGTTGTTCTGTCTATCCAAAGACAAAAGAAGAGCTGATATATGGATTAAACATAAAAACAAGTATAATAAGAATAAGAGACAATCATGCAATATTTATAATAAAACATCTGATAGGTTGATTTAATTTCAAATAAGAGACAAATAAAGTAATATAAGAGGTTTTTTCAAACTGCTAGATACCGTCGATACGTATTGACCTCAGCGGCAGTATGCTATGCGAAAAAATATATATAATATATTGCAGCCATCAGCATTAGGCCATACTGAAAAAAACAGAGCATACTGCCGCAGTATGCTATCATACTGCCGCATATAGCATTAATGCGTTGCGACAAAGCTTAAAACTTTCTTTTATTCAACTATACTGAACTGACCTTGATGTCTTAGTTTGTTTAAATATGAAATTGTTTTCAATCATTTAAAAATTTTCTAACGAAATAAGGAAATAAAGAAGTAGGAAATAAGTTTAACTAATTTTAAATGACAACCAAATTTACAATGCAAATACATATTAATAAAAAAAAGAATTGTGTAGAAATATAAAACATTATCTTGAACTGAGTTATAGAGTTGAATTCAGTTATTGAGTTAGTGGGCAGTCCTTTCGTTTCATATCATATCAAATACTGAACAGAAACTATGAACAGAAATTCGATTTTCATAATTTTACAAAAGTCATGTTTAAGCAGTTAAAGCGTTTGTATATACAACATGTATGATATAAATATTAAACAAACATACTTGTCTCACAAGTACCTCCAATGGTATTGTCAGTGTTTGTATCATAATATGTGTTTTTACATGTACATGTGCTTCCAACACATTCAGCCCGAGAAGATGAACATGCATTTGGCATTGGTCAATTAGAGCCAAGGCCAACCTCTGAAAATATAGAAATGTATACATTTTATTAAATAATAAATATAAACTATTTAAATATAATTCTGCACAGATGATACAACTTCATACTACAACGCAATAATAAACAACTTTTGAAAACCGACTTTATTACATCTCATATTAATATCATACATTTGTAGACATAAAAAAGGGCAAAAACAAATTTAATGACTTCTTTTAAAATGAATATTATTTGAAGAGTCAGAAGATCAACTTTATTAAACCCAAATGCATAATGTAACTTAAGTCAATCTTATATAGTATGGTTATTTGTCTTTTTTATTCAAATAACTAAAAAGGACGAATTACAATTTTCTAAGATTACTCTGATCAGAAAGTTGCGTCGTACAAATTATGCTATTTTTAGGAAAATATATGAGTTGAAATACCAATGTAAAATACTACTGCAATATAAACTATAAAATTTAAAATATTTGTTATTGACCTATCATGTAATTTTCTATATTTAATAACAATTTATCACACTTACTTTGTGTACATGTTCCACCAATATTATTTAAACCATCACTGTCATAGTATGAACTTGTACACTGACAAGTGTTTCCACCTTGTCCATTACTTTGGCATCGAGCATTACTATCAGCACAAGCTGTTCCAGACTGTAAACATAATGCTCCAAGAGCAAGAGAAGCCACTATACGAAAATCACATCAACATACTTTTATAAGTTATTGTATCTTATATCTAAGTATCTATAAATGTTATTCCGATAGATGTACTTCTATTAAATGTTACAAATTGGTTTCCCATTAGAGGGCGCCAAAAGAGGAAATGACTTAGTTTTGCTGTTTTCCGTAACATTTGGATGTCAAATTTCTCTGGTTATGCATTTGTTAAGTGTTATCAATAATAAATATACAACAACTTCAAAGTGTTCAGTGAACATGACGTGTTGTCTTGGCAACCAAATGTTTGCAAAGAATGTCATTTTCGGTTAGAATGATTTACTCTTAGTTTACAGTTGTATATTTTTTGTACTCAGTACTTCTTAATTATAACCAAAGATTCATAACGGACAACACCCGTTTAAGTTATAGAGGTGTATATGTAAGTGCCAGTTAATAGGTATAGAAAGGTATGGTTTTTGCAACATGAAAATCCTCTCAATGTGTACTACATCTGAATACTTTAAACAAAATCATTTGGAATGCTATAAACTTATGTACGGTTCAAGGATGAATTTTTTATATCAAATGCACCAAAGGACATGGCTATGTTATTTAAAAAGAAGAACGAGGACAGGTAATGAATATGCCCATCTTCTTTTGGTTTATTGGACACTTATGCTCCCACATCATTTAAGTGCTAAAATATTATATGATATTTTAGTATTGTAATTTAATAAGTTTTACATTCCTTTCACAAATTAAACTCTTGTTCTTGATTCGAAAATTAGTTCATGTGTTTTGTAGCCTTAACATAAAGACTGCTTAATTATTGACTTCAAAAAGAATATTGGTAATCTTCTAGTCATGACCAACTCTCAAACTAAGGACTGTAGGCAAAAGCTCTATCTGGTTACTAGTATTAGTCAAAAGATGATTATAGTGGTTAGGTTATGGTGACCTTAAACCCAATAACCTCAAAATCAAAAGGTGTCTTCTTCTAGACAAAACCAATCCCTGCACTAAATCTTAGGTCCGTAAGCCTAAACTATCTCTTGTTGTTGCTTTGACAAGCTAATAATATTCAAGGCTATGGTGACCTTATCCTCTGACATTCAAAAACAAAAGGGGTCATGAATTAGTCATGAACAACCCTACTGCAAAATTTCCGACTTTTTAAGTTTGGACATAATGGAGCTCCCCTTGAGGAATTTAGTTCCAGTGGTAACTGAGACATGGTCCAAAACGTGGTGGGGTAAAGCTTTGTGTTCTATTATGCGGAAATCTTCCTCATACTTGAGCTTTTGTTAGTGGTTATGAGAAAAATTCATACCCAAATTATAAGACACACATGGAATAAGGAACATACTAATTAAAGATATGTGAAAACCGTAAACTTGATTGATTTAAGTACGTTTATAAAAGACGAAAAAATGCAACACTTGCCACAAGCCATTTAAAACTTTACAAACGGAGTAAAGCACATGACGACTGTTTATAACTTTTCAGTACACATCATCCAGTTTAAAAAGAGCATAGATTAATGTGAAATTTATTTTTCATCATGACATCTTGAGTATGAGAAACATTTTTTTTTTAAATTACCTTGACAATTTTTACCAGAGTATCCATTTGCACATGAACAACTATAAGCATTTAACAGATTTGAACATGTACCTCCATTCATACATGGCCTTGATGCACATTCATCTATATCTAAAATAAACGAAATGTTCAAGTAATTTCACATACGTATAAACCAAGGTGATATTGTCCGAATAAATAATAAAAGATACAAATTATTCACAGATAAAGTTACTACAGCAAAAGCTTTATTAATAACTTTATAATGTTAATGGACTCTCAAGGTAAAAACAGATTTTCGTTAACATTTGGAAAACAAAATTTACTTTCTCTTAAACTTATATTTTTTCCCAGCTACACTTGCAATGCATTCCATCTATCTTTTTGCGAAGTGAAATTAATGTTTCAATGTTATATGCTATCTTAAACTCTAGACAAAAAATCAGTGGATTTATTTACTACTGCAGGTATGAATATCTTTTAATGTTCGTATATGTTTTTATAATTTATTGTCATTTTGTCCGACTGGATTTTTACAGTTATTACATAGTTGTCATAAAAGCAATTAATTGACATGCGGAAGAATATAGCCTTGCTGACATAATTATAACCCCATGTTACACAAACATAACCCTCTGCTAGCGCCTTTTAGGCTATATTATTATCTCGTAAACCTGGTCTATATTTTACCAATAATTAACTGGTACTCATCAGTTTTCAAGACAATGTTAGAATTAAATATTTATCAGAGTTTCTAAGAAATTGAGGAAATTAATATCAGTATAAGGAATATCAAATTAAACAATCATTTCCAGTTTAGTAATTTGGTGATTTTTAATTTTCGAAATTGACCTTCAAATAATTAAGAATAACAGGTATGTCTATTTATTTAAATCTTATTTGAATAAGAGGTTTTTGGGGGTATGTTTTGGTTTTTGTCTTTGTTAATTTTTTTTATATTAGAGGGAAAAAGTATGTGGAAACATATAATTATAGTAACCAGAACATGTCTCTCCATTTCCAAAAAGTCAGGTTTACATGTACAAGTAAAACTCCCTGGAATGTTTGAACAGTCTGCATTGTTGTGGCAGTTATCAGTTCCAGTTGAGCATTCATCAACATCGTTTACATAGCTTTACATTTGACACAATTTATTTTATGCAGATTAGTGGAATAAAGGTATTTATCAGCACCGATTATATAAAGAAGAGTGTATCAGTAGTTGATGTTTATAATTTCCTAATAATAATATTATTGAAATTTAAGTTGATATTTTTTCATTTATAATACTGAGATGATAGTACATCAAATATTATTTGGATATTTATTAACAAAACAAAATAAGACCAAAGAGCCCTGCATCACTGAATAGTTTGTCCAAAGGATCTTTTTATTTAAATCTTCATCTATACAAATCATTATTGAACAAAGAATGAACTTTAATTGGTGCCTAAATTGGTAACTGATATTTATTTCTGGCTTTTCAAACCATTTAGAGACATACTCGTCACATACGTAAGTAATTTCCAATCAAAACATTACAGACGAAGTTTGGTACATGTAATGACTTTTGTATAAAATATGTATTTAAATCTGGACAAAGTGTCATACCTTGGAAACATTAATCACAATACAATTACATGGCACTTGCAGACTCGGTTTGATTGTGTCTGTACATGAGGGATAATGAAAAAGTGCAACATCCCTCACACACTGTAACACCGGCTTGAGCCATACTCAATTTTCAACACTTAACAAGAGTGATCAGTGATCACTTTGGTTGCCTTATGATAGCATAACAAAAAATAAATAAACCCCCCAAAAAAACCTTGTACTATGCCCAAAAAAATGAGCTACCTATCAATCTTGTAAAGTTTCGATGAAATTGCATTAATGGTATAACAGAAGTAGTGCGGACATATTTTAATATTAAACTCATTAAAAAGGCCAAAATTCTGACAAGATGCACAACTAAACTGGTATTGATCAATCCACTCAAAGTTTGATGAAATTGCACCAGCAGTTTTTGGGAAGTAGTCCAGTCAAACTTCTTTGCTGGCAACATGAAAAAACATCTTCTTTTTTTTCAAGGGCAATAACTCAGCCAAAGATCATTCAAGCAAAAACAAAAAACGTGTGTGTTATGCAAAATAACTTGACCTACCAATCAATCCTGTAAAGTTTTATTGAAATTGCATTATTGGTATAGTCCGGTCAAAATTTATAAGCACCAATTTCATTCCAGGGCCACAACTTGGGCAAAAATCATTCAAGTAGAAAATTCGTGTAATATGCGCAAGTAATTGGCATACAAATCAATCCTGTAAAATTTCATTGAAATTGCATTATTGGTATAAGAGGAGTAGTCCGGTAAATGTTAATCTGTTGTGAAGTATAAAAATCTGGACAAAATGTGATCCCTCGAAAGACAATATTTTTAAAGAGTTTTGTTTGTATATCCAGCTCTTTACATATAATCTGTTAACCCTTTACCACATGTAATGAGCATATTGTGAAAAGTGGCCGTTTTCATTGAAAAGCCTCCTGTTACAAGTTCAAACTGCTATGAAACCATGAAAAATGCTTCAATATTGATGAAACTTGGCACAAATGTTGACTGGACCATAGCCTCTGTAACAGCATGTTCAATCTTAAATTTCCTGTTACAATGGCAACGGGGGACGTCTCAAAATTAAAAAAAAATCACTTTTCTCCATTGTTTTTTCCATCAAAATTGATTTAAAATTGCTGCAACTTCTCAATGGATTAAGATAGAGTTAAAGGCTTTTCAGCGTTGGTTGCACTTTACCTTATAATCGACCTGTGGTTATTTTTAGCCTCTAACGAGTTCAACATTTTCTTGGAGATGAGGGGAATATAGCCCCCTCCAAACCCCCTTAACAAAAGGGGGCACATCCCACTTCTAGCAACCCCCTGATGTACTTTTATGATGGCGCCGAAAAAGTGATCACTTTTCTTAACAACATTTCTCAAACGAAAAACGGTGTTTAGGGCCTAAATAGGATTTTTTTCACTGTTTGGGGCATCAAAAAGGGGGGGGAGGGTAGCCGTCAAAACACGCTTATATGAGGGAAAAGGTTAAACAATAAACTGAACATATTTGTCCGACTTGTTAAATACTCAATAATGTTGGCAGGTGTAAGTAAACTTTAGTTTTAATAAATGTGCATTTAAAAACATTAACCTTAAAATCGCTCAGTCATACTTTTCATGACAAAGGTAAGTCATTCAATAACAAAAGTTCTAAAAAATGCCTTTCAGAAATATTCAGTCTTATAATAGAAAACATTTACATAAGAATTCATGAAATCGTGATAACTATAATTTTCTGTTTAACCCGACCTCATGATCTCTACGTGTGATCTCTTGGCTTCACAGACCCAAATCATTTTACGAATCAGAGGAC